CTAAGGATTTTCTTTCTCGTTTTTACCCTCAAAAGAGGACCGCCGAGGCAAGAACTCTAATCCAAAGTTTCAAGCAAAAGCCTAGAGAAAGTTTGTTTGAGGCTTGAGAAAGATACAAGGAGTATCAAGTAGAATGTCTTCAATATGGAATCCCTACTTACCAAATTATACCAATTTTATATGGAGGATTGAGCCCTCAAGGGAAATCATGTCTTGATGCCGGAGCTGGAGGCCCGATCATGAACAAGACCGAGGAAGAGGTTGTAGAAATAATTGACGATGTAGTTCGTCACTACATGAATTGGAAAGAGGGAGAGAGAGTCTAAAAGCAAGAGTGGCTCAACGGTCTATTAGGTTGATCATCTCAATTTGATCAATAACTTGTCTTCCCAAATCTCGAACTTAGGGAAGGAGATGACATTGATCAAGGCTAAGCTAGGGAGTGCCTCTTCAATTGCACCAAGTCTTCCCTCCCATATTAAGGGGAGAGGTACACCTTCTAACTCTACTCCTCCTTCTACTTCAAATAATATGCCAAGTGGTTGTGTCTTTTGTGATGTTTTTGTGTCTTATGAACATGAGTCCTCTAATTGTCCAAATGCTTTTGAAATTTGTGATGATGTTGAAAACAATGATCTGATTGTGAGCAAGTGAACTTTGTTTCCAACAATAATAATGGACAAAGATATGATGGTCCAAGGAATTTTGGGACTAGGAATACTCACTAACAAGGAGGTTTTGATAACTACAACAATGGTGGTTATAGGAACCAAGGAAATCAAGGTTCCAAGATAACTATAAAAATCAAGGTTATTGTAATAAAAACCAAAGCCAAGGGTATGGAAATCAAGTCCAATCTCATGGTTTTTGTGGCCAACACCAAAATTTTGGCAACAATCAAGGCAGAGGTAATTGGAACAATCAAAATAGGGGAAATTTTAAAAACAACAACCAAAGGGGACCCCCACCCGGGTTTTCTCCAAGACCTCAAGGCAATGGTGATAATTTTTATTCTCAACCCCCATTTTCCAAGACTACCTTAGAGGAGATCATTGAAAATCAAACAAAGATTTTGAACACTTACATGGCATTAAGTGATAAGATGTTTAATGAAATGATGACACATAATAAGTTGCTTGAGACCCAAATCACTCATCTAGCTAGCCAATACCTTGAAGGATTGTGCTAGCCCTTCTTATTACCCTCTCAAGGAGTTGATCCTAAGAAACTCGTGTATTTTATCACCACAAGGAGTGGGAAAGTGCTAGAAGAGAGAGTTTCTAGGATTAGTAAAGAGGATGAGAAGAGGAGTGAGTCAAGTGAGGAAAATGAGAACAAGGTGTCAAGGAGTGTGAGCATGGAGGAAGTTCAAGAGAAAAAGATGATTGATGAGTTTAGCAAGATGAGTGATATCTCTAATGTAAAGAGTGTTGAGAAAGAGAGGAAGCAAGATGAGAATTTAAAACTAAGACTTCCATATCCCCAAAGGTTCAATAGGTACAAGTTGGATGAAAATTTTGGGAGATTTAACGAGATGCTAAGGAAAATCCATCTTTATATTCCTTTCACCGATGTTTTGGGAGAAAAGCATAACTATTCTTAATTTGTTATGGAAATCTTGAGCGGTAAGAGAGATTGCAGTGTGGTTGAACCAGTGAGTTTGGGGGAGTGTTGTAGTGCCTTTATCCATAATGATTTGCCACCAAAGATGAAAGATCCCGGAAATTTCTCCATTCCTTGTAATATTAATGGGAAATTGTTTCAAAATGCCCTTTGTAATCTTGGTTCTAGTGTTAGCATCATGCCTTACTCCATTTTCAAGAAACTCAAGTTAGGTGAGCTCCTTTCAACCAACATGACCCTTCAATTATCAGACCGTTCTATTAAGTTCCCAAAGGGTAGAATTGAGGATGTGCCCGTCAAAATAGGAAAGTTCACTATTTCCGTTGATTTCGTTATTCTTGAGATTGCGGAAGATGAAAACATTCCTATCATCCTAGAGAGGCCATTCTTAGAAACTTCGGGTACTTTGATAGATATGAAAGCTGGCATGATTACTTTGTGTGTTGGTGATAGTAAGGCGAGTTTTAAACTCAAGTCGTTGCATGAGTCTCTATCTTATGTGCAAGGAATTATGTGTATAAACTCATTGTCTTAGAATATTAATGATTCCATGTTTGTGTCTTCTACTAATGATATGCTTGTATCTTGTGATGATGTTCCTAAAAGTGTTGAAAGCCAGGTTATTAGTGAAGAAGATAAAGATCCCTCGAAGTTTAAGGATGAGTTTAAAAAGCCTTCTTGGTTTGAGCTTTCTTTGAAGGACGATGGAAATAATTTTTCAAGAGGTGAACCTGAGGATCTCAAGGATCCAAGGAATAAGAAATCAAGGAAGAGAAAGAGAGATTCCAAGAGATACAAAAGGAAGATGAAGTCTAAACAGTTTGAATCGGTTTCTATGATTTGAGATGACATGGTTCGTGATGTGATTTTGCACAAGCTTTGTAATGATTTTTCCCTCTCCACCACTTTGGATAAGGTGGTGCTTTTTGACCCTCCGTGGTTTGGAGGAAGGGTCGAGCATAGGACCTTAAGCAAGCGCTTCCCGGGAGGCAACACAGATTTCTAACCCTTTTTCTTTTTATTTCTAGTTTTCTTAATTTCTTTCTTTTGTTTTTCTTTTATTTCACTAGTTTTCTATTTGGATTGATAGGTCAATTTCATGAGAATTGGATCATTCGATCAAGCACGAGAAATGAGAAGGTTTCGTGTTTTTGATGAAAATACATTCGATTTTATCGAATTTTGAGGTAAAAGGGTAAGGTAATGTAGTGAGTTAAGTTAGGGAATATTGTGCTAAAATTTGAAGTAAAATTGAACTTTGTGGGTACATTGTGGTGCTCTCATTATAAGTGGATGTTCAACTGATGAGTGATATTTTTGTCACTCCTAGGGTAGTTCTTTCTAGTAGTTTTAGCAATAATTCGGTTCATCCTAGTGTGTTTTTGTTATGTTTTGCCTAATTTAAGTAGTCTACCTATGTGTTGCGTAATGTGTTTTTATTTGGTTTAGGTAGGCTTTGCTCCCCTCCCTCTTCGTTGTATTACGCTTTGCCTTCCTATTTTGTAATTGCAGATTGATTGCGGTTCGAATTGACAAGGAGCCAGAGCAAGGATCGAAGCATTGAACCAGCAGTTTGGAGCGGGCGCGCAACTATAGGCGCGGGCGCACCACCTTGGGCGCGGGCGCGGGCGCATGCTGAGCTGGCCCAATCCTGTGACACCCATTTTTGAGCGGACGCGCTTCTTGAGGAGCGGCCGCGTCACCATCTAGCGCGCGGGCGCTCCTGTCTGCTGCGGTCCGTAACTTGAAATCAAATTTTAAAAGAAGAGAAGAGGAGAGAGAAAGCAACATTCATTATTCACATATTGAAACTTTCAGCATACTCTTTAGAGGAACATTCTTAGCATAGATTTTAGCTTTCTTGTATTGGAAATTCTTCCATAGATCTTAGTGTAGATCTTCAATTTATCAATTTTAGCTACTTTGGGTATTTTGAGGAAGCATTTTGGAACTCTATTGGTGTTTGTCATCTCACTTGGTATTGAATGAAACTATTGGTATGCTTCTTTTCATTATTTTGTTATATGCTTAAAGTTCCCATCTTTGTTGGTTTAATTGGTGAAATTATCATCTCTCTCATTAATTTCTTAATTACTTTGTTGATTAGTGTAATTGTAGTTAGGGTTATGGATTGTGAGTAGTTTTCTTATTGCTAGGGGTTTGGTGGAGACATGCTTTGAATTTGATGTATGATAGGATAGGCTAGTTTGGAATACTTGCAATTAAATCTTCCTTGCGCCTATACTTTTTGGCTACTCCATGTTTATGGCCATATGCATGTTGAGGTTGAGTGACTTGAATTAAATCATGACGATAGTGTGATTTAGGAATAGTCATTGGGTGATTGATTATTGTCTAACCTTAGTATTGCATGCCTTATGACGATAGTGTAAGTGCATGTTAACTAGGAAAGCTCTTAATCCCGATAGGTGATTAGAGAGTACTCTTGACTTTGCCTTGTATGAGTTGCTTGGTTTGCATGTAAACCTACTTCCCTAAGCCTAGCTCCTTTGACTTCATAGCATGTTCGACCCCTACCCCTAGCATTTATTTTAACTAATTTTACATACTCTTTAGTCATTAATTCATCCACTATTTTCCTTGACCGAACTAGATTAACTTTAGGAGATAGATAACAGTGCTTAATCGTTTCCATGTGTTCGACCCTTGACTTGCCTCTATACTCGTTTAGTTGCATGTTTAGGACCACAAATATCATTTGATAGAGGTGTCTTAGTAACGACCTAAAATACCCTTTGTCAAATTGGCGTCGTTGCCAGGGAAACGGTTTCCATTGTGTGTATATTTTCTTGTTGAGACTAGTTCATTCGTTTCTTTCTGTTGTTTTTCTGTGTCTTGTCAGTGCTCACTTTTTGCTTAGCTTTGTATATGCACAGGAGGCTTAATAGCTCTAGGCCTTTGGTGTCCATAGACCACGAGCTAGAGCGTACTCTAACCCAATTGAGGAGACAAGCAAGGGAGAGAGGTGAAGACCCACTTCAAGAGGAAGTGAGAAGTTCCCCTACCCCATCTTCACCCAATTCAAGCGAGGAGAGTGAATCACCCACAGGCTCAAATCCCAACCCATTTGCCAATAACCATAATCAACAAAGTATGGGTGATCAAGGAAACGTGGGTGATCAAAGGTCACTAAAGCAACTTGGAGCACCCAAACCATATACCTCTCAAAGTGGGATCCTAGCTCCTACTACCCAAGCAAACAATTTTGAAATCAAGCCTAACTTCATCTCCTTGATAGAAAAGAGGCAATTCATGGGTGGTAAGTTTGAGAACCCACATGAGAATCTCAAAGAATTTCTCAAGTATTGTGACACCATCAAGATCAACGAGTAACCCAAGAGTACATTCGATTGAAGATGTTTCCATTCTCTCTTATGGGAGTAGCCGAGCATGGGTTGAATAATGACGTGCCTCCCGGTTCTCTCACAACATGGAATGAGGTTACTACGGAATTTTCGGCAAGGTTCTATAATAATCATAAGAAGACTGCCGAGGCTCGTTCTAAAATTCAAAGCTTTCGCCAAAGGGGAGGTGAGTCTCTATGTGAGGCTTGGGAAAGGTACAAGGAACTCCAAAGACAATGCCCTCATCATGGCATTCCCAACTACCAAATTCTTCAAACTTTCTATGGAGGCCTTTCACCCCAAAGCAAGACAAGTTTAGATGCCGGGGCCGGTGGCCCTATTATGAACAAGAGAGAGGACGAAGTTGAAAGCATAATAGAAGATGTGGTCCGGAATTATGAGGATTGGTATGAAGGTGAGAGGGAAGCCACTTCAAGCAAAGGAACGGTGCAATCCATCGAGCAAACCAATGCCATCACAAATCTTTCCAACCAAATGGCAAAGATGGCGAAACAAATGGAGGAGCTCATGAAATCAAGCACTCAAAATACTTCCTCTCCTTCTACCAAGAGAGGCCATGGTATGAATCCTTCTACTTCTTCTCCCTCTAATTACAATGCTATGCCTCCCGGTTGTATGTTTTGTGATATATGTGGAAACTATGACCATAATTCCGAACAATGCATGTCCATTAATGAATATCAAAGCCCTTCCCAAGAAAATGATGATGATAATGTTGAAGATGTTAATGCTATGAATTTTGTCCCCCGTGAGGGAAATGTTGGAATGCGGCCAAATTGGAATCAAAACCAAAACCGCGGTTGGAATCAAAATCAAGGTTGGAATCAAAATCAATGGAATTAAAGTGGTGGTAGTTATGATAACCAAGGCCAAGGTAAGGGGAACTCTTCTAATTACAATGGAAGAAGTTACTCAAACCAAAGGCCCAATTGGAATCAAAACCAACAACACTATTCCAACAACCAACAACGTTTTAATTCCAATCACGGTTCCGAAAATGGAAGGCCTCAAAATAGACCTCCCGGTTTTGAACAAATTAGGCCACAAGCCCAAATTTCTAACACACCTCCTCCTCAAGTTGAGGCCGCTCCGAATTCTATGATGGGCATGCTCCAAGCTTTCATCAAGAATCAAGAGAGCTACAACAAGAGTCAAGAGGAGGAAAAGAAACAAATTAAGGCACACATGAAAATGCTTGAGACCCAAATCTCCCAAATTGCCCAACCAAGTTCTTCATCCTCCCCTTCTTCCTCTTCTTCTTTACCTAGCCAAGGTGTCAACCCCAAATCTATGTATGCCATTACCACTAGAAGCGGGAAGATCATTGAGAGTGATTTAAATATTGAGAAGAGTTCCGATAAAGGGATAGGACTTGAGGTTAAGGATGAGTCATCAAGAGAGGGTGAGGTTCTAGAAGGAAGTGCCGAAAAGCATGAGAGGGGTGAGAGAGAAAAAGAGAAGGAACCCGAAAAGGAGAGCACCAAAGAGCAAACACCTTTACCCCTTAATCTCCAACCTAGGAATGAGAGGTTGCCTTTTCCTCAAAGATTTGCTAGGTCTAAGCTTGATACCCAATTCGGAAAGTTTTTAGAAGTAGATAAAGGCTTGCATGTTTCTATACCCTTTGTGGATGCTATGAAGGAGATGCCTCACTACTCTAAATTTCTAAAAGACCTTTTGAATCAAAAGAGAGGAGTTGAGATCGTTAATCTAACCGCAAATTGTAGTGCCATTCTCTCTAGTAAGCTACCAACCAAATTGCAAGACCCCGGTAGTTTTTCCATTCCTTGTTCTATCAATGAGATCCATTTGGGGAAGGCTTTGTGTGACCTAGGTGCTAGTGTGAGTTTAATGCCCTTCTCGGTCTACCAAAAGCTCAATGTGGGAAGCCTTTCACCTACAAACATCACTCTCCAACTAGCGGATAGGTCCACAAAATTGCCTATAGGGAAAGTAGAGGACATCCCCCTTAGAGTTGGTAAGTTCACCTTTCCGGTGGATTTTTATGTCCTTAAGATGGATGAAGATGAAAGAATTCCTATAATTTTGGGTAGGCCATTCCTAGCTACTTCTAAAGCGATCATCGATGTCAAAGAAGGTAAGATGACCTTGAAGGTTGACAATGATTCTATTGAATTTGACTTGAATAAGGTAATGAGACAACCCTCCTCTAGTAATGAATGCTTTAGAATAGATACAATTGAAAATTTGATGAATGAGTTTAGATACCCTCTTATGCATGCTTCTAATGATCTACTTGAGAATGTTTTGTTGAATGAGAATGAAGTAGGCGATCAAAAGGAGATGCAATTGTATGAAGAAATACTTGATGAGAAAGAGAAGACAATCACCGACCAAGAGATGCTCCAAACACATGAAATCTTCAAGGTAGAGAAGGAGGAGATCTCCAATGGTAAGGGAGCTCCGAAGGTAGAATTGAAGCAGGGATCATCTATCCAATTGCTCATAGTGATTGGGTATCCCCGGTTCAAGTAGTGCCGAAAAAAGGAGGTATGACGGTAATGGTCAATGATAAGCAACAATTAGTCCCAACCCGGCTTGTTACGGGTTGGCGTATGTGTATTGATTACCGCCAATTGAATACCAACACTTCCAAAGACCATTTTCCATTACCGTTTATTGATCAAATGCTTGAGAGGCTTACAAATCATGCCTTCTATTGCTTTCTTGATGGATATTCGGGATTTTTCCAAATCCCGATTGATCCCAAGGATCAAGAGAAGACAACATTTACTTGTCCCTATGGTACCTTTGCGTACCGTAGGATGCCTTTTGGGCTTTGTAACGCTCCCGCTACATTTCAAAGATGTATGATGTCAATATTTAGTGATATGATTGAGGATGAGATAGAGGTCTTCATGGATGATTTCTCCGTTGGAAGGACCACCTATGAAAATTGTCTATCTAACTTATCTCGTTGTTTGGAAAGATGTGAGATGGCTAATCTCGTGTTGAATTGGGAAAAATGCCATTTCATGGTAGAGAATGGGATTGTTCTTGGGCATAAAATTTCCCATGCCGGAATCGAGGTGGATAGAGCCAAGGTGGAGGTCATAGAGAAACTCCCACCCCCTACCAATGTAAGGGAAGTGAGGTCATTTCTTGGCCACGCCGGGTTCTATCGTCGTTTTATAAAAGATTTTTCTTTAATTGCTAAGCCACTCACATCTCTCTTGCAGCAAGATAAAGATTTTGTATTTGATGAAGCTTGCCATGAGTCATTTTGTAGGTTGAAAAAGGCTCTTTGCACCGCCCCCATAGTCCAAGGACCGGATTGGTCTTTACCATTTGAGCTAATGTGTGATGCAAGCGACGAGGCCATTGGATCGGTTCTAGGACAAAGAAAGGATGGGAAACTTCATGTTATATACTATTTGTCCAAGACTCTCAACGATGCTCAACGGAATTATACAACTACCGAGAAAGAGTTCTTGGCGGTTAGTCATTCATTTGAGAAGTTTAGAACCTACCTCATTGGTTCTAGGACAATAGTGTATACCGATCACTCGACTCTCAAATATTTGATAAGCAAGAAGGAGGCCAAACCGAGGTTGTTGAAATGGGTCTTGGTCCTTCAAGACTTTGATTACGAAATGAGAGATAAGAAGGGGGCCGAGAACGTGGTGGCGGACCACCTTTCTAGGTTGGGAGGTGTGGTGTGCCTCAGTCGTATGCAACCAAAAATATCACAACTAAGCTAACTGCAAATAAACGTAGTTAGGGAAGTCGAGTTCGAATCCACAGGGAAAAAGGGACTAATAACTGGAAACCTAAGTGGAAATACTCTAGGACGGTAGTAACCTAAGTAACGAGGGGGGTTTTCACGAGCAATGATGATAAATGAACTAAGTAAGAACAACGAACGTAATGAATAGGTAATCAATGAGAAGAACGGTCTTGGTTATGCGAAATCCACTAATGAACATACAAATTGATCATAGAAGTCTCCTCAATCAAGCTCTATTGAACACCTTGTTGTAGAATTCCTAGATTCTAAATTCTCATAAATAGTTAGAAATAGCAAAGCGCTCCTTTCTAACCCTTTCCAATGCACAATTCAAGACAAGCGCTCTAAATTATCCACAAGAAGAAAATAAACGGAGAAATCAACAAGGATTGAATAAATTAACACAAGCGGTCTAATTTCTTCAATAATATTATTCCCTCTTCAAGTTATCAACCAAAAGCATGCATCAATAACCTAAAGTTGCTACTTTGGAAAGATTAATTAGATGCAAGCGAATCCAATAATTCTAACCTAGCAATTGATTAAAGCAAATCATGAAATTAATTCAAGGAACAATATATATTCAATAGATATTAAGAGAAGAAAGATCTCACAATTCGTAGCTAAAAGCTTCAATCTTTAACCAAGAATCCGGAAGATTAAGCTTCCATGGATTCTAATTCCAAAACAAAGAATTCTGAAAATTCCAAGAAAACCCTAGAAAGCTTTTTTTTCTCAAGACTTAATTCTCCTTTTTTTTTTTTAACTTCAAACTTAATTAAAACTAAGCTATTTATATGTTTCTATATTTTAATAACATAACACAATAATAATAATAAAATAATATCCAAAACACGAGCCAAAACAAAGCCAAATTGCTGAAAATTAACCAAAACAGCCCGAATTTCTGCCAGAGCCGCTGCCAGCTGCTCTGGACCCGCTGGCAGCTGCTCTGGCAGCCCCTCACTCTGGTATACCCGCTGCCAGCGGCTCTGGCCAGCTGCCAGCGGCCCTGGCAGCGGTTCCTGCTGTTTTCGCCTTCTTTCCTTGCTTCTTCTTCTTGCTTTGCTTCACCTTTTCCTCAAGCTTTCTTCCTTGCTCTTCCATGCTCCATCACAACTCTCAAATCACGAGCCAAGGTCCATCCTTCTTACATAACTCTTCATTGGTTCCCGAGCTCACTCACTCACTTATACTCATAAATCCCGCCTTTTGCACATAAGTGAGATCACAGCCCAAAACTCACAAAAGCTAACAAAAGTACATATAAAGCATCAAAACACACCCTAAAATGCTTCTCTCAACCCATGATAAGAAGGCTTATCAAATTCCCCCATGCTTGAACCTTTACTCGCCCTCGAGTAAACTTAGAGAATAAAACACATCCTCCTCACTAAGGTTCAAAACAGAAGATGGTGGAATCAAACTAGCTCTATGCACTCAAACTCAACAAAACATCCTAGTACTTATCAACCAATCACAATCACACTCCCCCATACTTCACACTTTGAATCTCCCTTTTTTCTTATTTATCAATTCATCCCCAAAATCAACTTGGAACGATAAACGCATAGCCATGAGTATGAATATTCTCAACCGCCTAAAGAAATGAAATTTTTGATAAAATTGGGCAAACAAAAAATCAACTTAACCAAAAATCTCATAAAAACACTTCCACATTCAAGAGTGAAAACAAACAACTCATGCTCTCAAATTCCTAAGATGATCAACAAATTCCCCCAAAATCTCAACTATCTCCCAAAATCACCAAGATGAAACCTACCCCGACACCTCCTTATATCTCCTCCCCTTATGACACCGACTCCGGCAAATAGATGCGAAATTTCCTTGAAAAATCAAATTCATGAACATTTCTCTCTTTTTTCTCTCATTTTGCCTAGGAGCCCTTTCGGGTTTTCATCCTAGCCTCTCATCTTTTTCCAAATCTCACTTTCTCACCCACTCATTAGCCACTTTTTTGCTTAGGTCGCCCTTTCGGGTTTTCAACCTAACCGGGCCCCCATTTTTGCCTAAGCCGCCTTTTCAGGTTTTCGACTTAGCGGGTTTCTTTTTCTTTTTTCTTTCTTTCTTTTTTTTTTCATACTTTTTTCTGTTTTTTTTTTTCAAGCTTGCTTCATTGAACCACAATTAAGATAGTTATACAAAACATGAAATCAAGATAACTATACAAAATTCAAAGAATATATGCAAGAATTTCTTCCCCCCCCCCTACTTGAATGAAGCATTGTCCTCGATGCAAGAACAACTACAATGAAACCAAAAGTAAGGGAAAAGGAAGAAAATCGTTACCATCTCAATGAGAGGGACCTCCAGAGCCAGAAGAGCCGGCATCGCCCCGAGAAGCACGCCTCTCGGAACGACGCAAAGCACGGGATGCCAAATGATCCATGAACGCCTCAGTTGGAGGCTCATACTGCGGATACTGAGTGGTGTAAAACCGACTCATGCTTCTTTGATATGCAAGCAGCTCGTGCATCCCATCGCACACCTCCTCTAGTCTATCATCCACATCAGCCCTCCATCGAGGCCAATCATCGTGCTGCACTCCAGCAGCATCCTCACCCCCTTCCTCATCAACAAACTCTCCGCCCATATGAACATCGGGATTCTCCTCTCCCATGTTCTCAACTATGATTTCAGCATCTCCCAAATAAGGAGCAACATCCGGGTCGGGCGGAAGGAAAAAGTCTGCAGCAGTAGGGCCAAAAGGTAATGCTCGTCCCTCGGGACGAGGAAGTCTCAAATAGTTCAAACCCTGCGGTCCGTATCGCCAGAAATAACTACCGGCGACGGGGGAACGCGATAATAAACCGATCTTGACCAGAGTCATGATGTTATATGTCAAGTATGTCGAGTCTACTGGCACAAGATCCTCAGGGGGTGGAACATTCAAATAACAGGCTAGCAAAGAGACCATGCCACCCATACTAATATGGCCACTGGAGTTGGACTTCACCTTTACACAACTATCAACAAAAATCTCCACCCAATTGGGCGTACCGACACCTTCAGGGGTCATCGCCCACAAATACGACAATGTGACTTTGGGGACCTTAGTGGCCTCCCCTTGGCATAGAATAGTGGACGATATAAACCTATGCACCAGTCTAAGGCATGGGTGGGTGATTTTGAAGCTATGATCACCGTGAGGATCAACCTCACAACCAGTTATAGCCCTCCAAAATACTCGGGACGAGTATGAGCTATGATCACCCCAACGGTTCACCAATGGGGGTGCATCCCAACCAAATGCCATACGCAAATCATCATAAGACATCACATAATTCCTATTGTTCAAATTAAAGGATATTTATTCACGTCCTTTAGTAAGCGTTGAAAGGAATTCATATGTATACCTGACATAGGTGGGAGCGCATTTGGTCATGAAATTCTCGAGACCCACGTTCCTTAGCAAGAGCCGCACTACTTCCTCCATCTCTAGCTCTTGTAAAGCTTCTAAGTCAAAGAACTTGGTGCATTGCACCGTTCGTCGGGGTTGTTGAAGCTTAGTCCATACGCCCTTCTCCTTGGAATGCAACCGAACACCCATGAAACCATCCCCTTGAGGCAATGGAGGTGCCTCCCCTTGACTTGAAGAAGCCCCTTGCTTCTTGCCCCTTGAGGGTCTTGATGGAGATGAAGCCTTGGACCTCTTGTTATCCCTTCCCATGACTTTAGTTGTATGCTTGAATCTTCACCCTCACCTTCAATTACAAGAAGTTCACGTTGCACAACCTCACAACCACTCAATGTCACCCTTGGAATCAAGAGCAAATGGAAAACCTAGGTTGTATTTGTGAAGGGAATTGATGGAAGGTAAGGATTTGGGGAAGGAGAATTGCTAGGGTAGATGTGGAATTGGAGTGTGGGAGTGAAAGAGTAGAGAGAAGGAGGAGAAAATGCTTAGGGTTGATGTGAATTGGGGGATAATGAAGGAAGAAGATGGAAATTGGGGGAAATAAGGGGAAAAAAAAAAATCGGGGAGAGCTGTAGGAGCCGCTGGTAGCGGCTTGAGGCCCGCTGCCAGCGGCTCTGGCAGATTTTGGTGATTTTTTTTATTATTATTTTTTTTTTTTTTTTTTTTTTTTTTTTTTTTTTTGAAATTAACAAAACGTAGAGGGGGGCCCGCTGGCAGCGGCTTGGGAGCAGCTGCCAGCGGCTAAGGCAGACAGAGGGGTTCTGGGGTGCTGGGAGGGCCGCTGGCAGCGGCTGCAGAGCAGCTGCCAGCGGTTGCAGCAGCACTTGCTCCCCTTTGTCTGTTTTTTTAGCTGGTTTTGCTGCTTTTCGCGCGTAACAATCTCTCCCGAGGCCTCCCCTACACAAAAACAATAAAAAGAAACACTTCACATCACCAACAAAAAAAAAAAAAAAAAAAAAAAAAAAAACAAACTACGAAAAGAAATGGGGAAAAGGTTTCGATCGGGTTGCCTCCCGATTAGCGCCTTTGTTTTACGTCGTTGGCTCGACGCGGCTCATCCCACTTCGCTACTCCATTGATGGCTCGTAGAGATCGATGCACTCCACGTTCTCGGTTTTGAAACCCTCGAAGTAGGGTTTGAGCCTTTGGCCATTGACTTTGAAAATCTTATCGGTCTCGAGGCTTTGAATTTCAACTGCTCCATGCGGATATACATTCACCACTTGAAAAGGGCCCTCCCAACGGGACCGAAGTTTTCCCGGAAATAATCTAAGTCGGGATTGATATAGGAGTACTTTGTCACCGACTTTAAACTCCTTCCGCGTGATCATTCGATCATGCCATAGCTTGGTCTTTGCTTTATAAATATCTGCATTCTCATAGGACTCAAGCCGGATCTCCTCTAGTTCTTGGAGTTGCAATTTCCGATGTTCACCTGCTTCATCCATTTGCATGTTGAATGACTTAACCGCCCAATATGCTTTATGCTCAAGCTCAACCGGAAGATGGCACGGTTTTCCGAAGACAAGGCGGTAAGGGGACATCCCGATAGGTGTTTTGTATGCGGTGCGGTACGCCCATAGAGCATCCTCCAACCTCAAACTCCAATCCTTCCTATCCGGATTCACCGTTTTCTGCAGAATTGACTTCACCTCTCTATTGGACACCTCGGCTTGCCCATTGGTTTGTGGGTGATAAGCCGTGGAGATTTTGTGGTGAACAGAGTACTTCCTCAACAAAGCACTCACTGTACGGTTGCAAAAGTGTGTTCCACGGTCACTTATCAACGCCCTTGGGATTCCAAACCTAGAAAATATGTAAGCTTTGATAAAACCTGAAACCACTTTAGAGTCATCAGTCCTAGTGGGTATTGCTTCCACCCACTTCGACACATAATCACAAGCAAGAAGTATATAAGTAAAACCGTAAGAAATAGGGAATGGTCCCATGAAATCTATACCCCAAACATCGAATATTTCACAATATAGAAGAGAGGATTGGGGCATTTCACTTTTCTGGGAAATGTTACCTACTCTCTGGCAATTATCACAGGATTTACAAAATCCATAGGAATCTCGAAACAAACTTGGCCAGTAAAAACCACAGTCGAGAACCTTCCTTGCTGTGCGTTTGGCTCCAAAGTGTCCTCCACAAGCATGAGAATGACAGAAGGTGAGAATGGGGATCACCTCATTTTCGGGAATGCATCTGCGAATGATTTGATCGGAGCAGAACTTCCACAAGTATGGATCATCCCATGCATAGTACTTCGCATCAGTTCGAAGCTTGTCCTTTTGAGACTTTGTGAAACCTGGAGGAAACTGTTGAGAAACCAGAAAATTCACAATGTTAGCAAACCAAGGGCGCAAATCCTTAAGAGCAAATAGAGATTCATCCGGAAATTCTCCTAGGATTTGATATTGGAATGATGGTTGATCAACAATATGGGTCAAACGACTCAAATGATCAGCAACTAGATTTTCCGCGCCTATCTTGTCCTTGATTTCTAACTCAAACTCACATAAGAGCAGAATCCATCTTATTAGTCTTGGTTTGGCCTCTTTCTTCGTCATCAAGTGGCGAAGAGCTGCATGATCAGTGAAAACAATTACTTTAGTACCAAGCAAATAAGATCGAAACTTTTCTAGAGCAAATACTACAGCTAACAACTCTTTTTCTGTGGTAGTGTAGTTTCGTTGGGCTGAATTGAGGGTCATTGAGGCATAATAGATCACATGAGATGCCCTCCCTACTTTCTGGCCTAAAACAGCTCCAACTGCATAATCACTCGCATCACACATTATCTCAAATGGTCGAGACCAATCTGGGGCTTGAATGATAGGGGCAGAAATGAGCTTAGCCTTCAATTCGTCGAAAGCCTTCTTGCAATCATCATCAAAGTGGAATTTCACATCTTTCTGCAGCAATTTGCACATAGCATTTGCAAGCTTTGAGAATCCCTCAATGAACCTACGATAGAAACCTGCATGGCCAAGAAAAGAACGTACTTCACGCACATTAGTAGGATAAGGAAGAGACTGAATAGTGTCAATCTTAGCCTTATCAACCTCAATACCTCTAGAAGAAACTACATGACCTAACACAATGCCCTGTTGGACCATAAAATGACATTTCTCAGAATTCAAGACAAGGTTAGAGTCAATACATCTTTTGAGGACCATAGATAAGTGATGCAAGCATTTATCAAAAGAATCACCATACACAGTGAAATCATCCATAAATACCTCCATGAAATGCTCAACAAACTCAGAAAAGATGCTCATCATGCATCTCTGAAAGGTTGCAGGTGCATTACATAGGCCAAAAGGCATACGGCGATAAGCAAATGTGCCAAAAGGACATGTAAAAGTTGTCTTTTCCTGATCTTCAGGTGCAATGGGCACTTGAAAGTACCCAGAATACCCATCAAGGAAACAGTAATAGGATTTCCCTGCAAGTCTTTCAATCATTTGGTCAATAAAAGGTAAAGGGAAATGGTCTTTCCTAGTTACTGCATTCAACCTACGATAATCAATGCAAACTCGCCAACCATTTTGAACTCTAGTAGGAACCATTTCACCCTGTTGATTTTCTACCACAGTCACACCACTTTTCTTAGGAACCACCTGCGTAGGACTGACCCATTTACTATCAGATATAGGAAATATCATTCCTATTTGCAATAATTTTATGATCTCCTTCTTTACCACGTCCATCATGGGAGGATTTAGGCGACGCTGAGGTTGCCTCACAGGTTTGGCATCATCTTCTAAACAGAATACGATGCATGCAAGTGGATGGACTTATTCCCTTAATGTCTGCAATGGTCCATCCAATAGCTAACTTGTGCTCTTTCAGCACTGTCACCAACTTGTCCTCTTGCTCCTTGGTCAATTTGCTTGAAATTATAACAGGTAAAGTATCGTTCTGACCAAGGAACACATATTTCAAATGATCAGGAAGTGGTTTTAGCTCCACCTGGGGTGCCTGCAAAACAGAAGGTAAGAGTTTATCAGTAGGCACTGTCAATGGGGTAGGTGTCGAACCTGGTGGTCTAAGTGGAAGCTTGGAATGACCATTCAACTCTGCTACCATCATCTGCACACTATTAGGCAAAGGAATATCCAAACAATCAGCAGATAAATCATTAGAAATGGAAGTGAGGAGCGCATCCTCGCCCTCAACATTGAAGACATCCTGCACTATAGGATCAATGATATCAATGGAACACAAAGAATGAGTGTCAACAGGGTATTTCATGGAATCATAGATGTTATACACAATTTCTTGTCCATCAAACTCCATAGTCAAAGAACCAGTAAAAACATCAATTTTAGTCCTAGCAGTTTTCAAGAAAGGTCTTCCTAACAAGATTGGTACTGCTTGTCTATCATGTTCCATATCAAGCACATAAAAATCAGCAGGAAAAATTAGTTCATCAACTTTCACAAGCACATCTTCCACTACTCCCTTAGGATAAACATTTGATCTATCAGCTAATTGAATCACTACCCCGGTGTCATGTAAGGGTCCAAGTTCCAAAGATTTGAACAGTGAATATGGAATAACATTAATTGATGCACCCAAATCCAACATTGCTCTACGAAAAGTGGTGTCCCCTATTGTAACTGGAACAGTAAACATACCAGGGTCACTGCATTTTTCAGGAAGTTTCTTTTGGAAAACTGCAGAAACATGAGCACTGACTTTCACTTTTTCCTTCCCTCCTAACCTGTGCTTCCTCTTAATAGTACAAAGTTCTTTCAAAAATTTAGCGAATCGAGGAACACTCTTTATTAAATTCAAAAGGGGAATGTTTACCTCACACTTGCTGAATGTTTCATAGATATCTTTGTCCTTCTCATACCTCTTCGTTTCTTTCAAAGCTTCAGGAAAAGGTGGTGTGGGTTCATAAGATGGAAAAGTGGGAGGATTTGCTACAGCTTCATGTTCCACTTCCTTCTCCTCAGCTCCAATCAACTCTTCAGCCCTCTTAGTTGCAATTTCAGTCTCTTTCAGCTCCTTGCCATTTCTCAATGTAATAGCGTTGGCTTGTTGCTTAGGATTCAACTCCGTTTGAGATGGAAGTTTTCCCGAATCCTTAGCTTCAAGTCTGCTCACTGCACTTGAAATTTGACTCACTTGACTTTCCAAATTCTGAATACTGGATTTGGTCTCTTGCTGGAATTGCACCATGTTTTGCTGCATAGTAGAAACATTAGAAGTTAGTGATCTAATCATTTCATCAGTTGACATATCATTCGAATTTGAGCTTTGGCCTTGAGGTTTGGCCAATGGTGCCCTATATTGCTGCTGGCCTTGAGCATTTTGCTGTTGTTGTTGGTTCCCCTGGGAATTCCCATATCTCAAATTTGGATGATCCCTCCATCCTGGATTGTATGTATTCGAATATGGATCATATCTTCTCTGAGGACCTTGCCCTTGGAAACCCATTGCATTGGCCTGCTCATTCTGTTCCTCTTGTAATTGAGGACATGCATCAGTGGGATGTCCTGTGGAGGTGCATAAACCACAAGCATTCAGTTGCTGTGGATTCCTTGAGTTCACCATGAACTCACGCATCATAGAAGTCAAATCAGCTACTTGACTCTCTAACTCAGTTGTATTTGAATTTGCTGCATTCACCCGGCGCGTGGGAGTTCTCTGACTGAACTGCCTAGAATTCTCTGCTAGCTCTGCAATCAGCCTAGTTGCATCTCCTGGAGTCTTATTCACTAGCCCTCCACCACTTGCTGCATTCACCATCCTCAAATCATCATCTGTTAGACCTCCATAGAAGTATAGGATGAGGTCTTGATCGGAATACCCATGGTACGGACAACTAGCACACAATCTCTTGAATCTCTCCCAATACTCATACAAGGACTCATCTTCCTTCTGATCCACATTGCTGATAGCTTTCTTAAGGCTTGCAGAAATAGTGGCTGGGTAATACTTCTCTAAGAAACACTTCTTCAAACCTGCCCAATTTGTTATGCTCCCTGGGGGAAGATAGTAAAACCAATCCTTCGCTGCATCTTTGAGAGAAAAAGGAAATGCTCTCAACTGAATTTGCTCATCAGTCATCCCAATCGGTTTCATGCTAGTACATACCACATGAAATTCTGCCAGATGTTTATTTTGGATCTTCACCCTTCATGCCATGGAATGCCGGCAATAGATGAATTAGACCAGATTTGATCTCAACATTAGCACCTTCCTCCAACTGCTGATATGCGATGCACAACGGCTGTTGGTTCAAGTTAGGAGCTGTTAGCTCTCTCAGTGTTTCGATTTTCTGCCATCACTTCCTCTTCTTGAATGTTGAAGATGTATGTTGATTCACTGGGGTTTGTTCTTGCCTCTCTTCGGCAACCTGGAAATATTTCTTTCAATTTCTGGATCAAACTGCAAAACTTCTTTGTTAGCAGAACGGGTACTTATCATACCCTAGCGAACAAACAAAGAAAAAATAGCTAAGAACAATCCTAAAAATAAATTCTACTAAGATAAACAATTAAACGGTAACGCCTAAGTCCCCGGCAACGGCGCCAAAATTTGGTGTGCCTCAGTCGTATGCAACCAAAAATATCACAACTAAGCTAACTGCAAATAAACGTAGTTAGGGAAGTCGAGTTCGAATCCACAGGGAAAAAGGGACTAATAACTGGAAACCTAAGTGGAAATACTCTAGGACGGTAGTAACCTAAGTAACGAGGGGGGTTTTCACGAGCAATGATGATAAATGAACTAAGTAAGAACAAAGAACGTAATGAATAGGTAATCAATGAGAAGAACGGTCTTGGTTATGCGAAATCCACTAATGAACATACAAATTGATCATAGAAGTCTCCTCAATCAAGCTCTATTGAACACCTTGTTGTAGAATTCCTAGATTCTAAATTCTCATAAATAGTTAGAAATAGCAAAGCGCTCCTTTCTAACCCTTTCCAATGCACAATTCAAGACAAGCGCTCTAAATTATCCACAAGAAGAAAATAAACGGAGAAATCAACAAGGATTGAATAAATTAACACAAGCGGTCTAATTTCTTCAATAATATTATTCCCTCTTCAAGTTATCAAACCAAAAAGCATGCATCAATAACCTAAAGTTGCTACTTTGGAAAGATTAATTAGATGCAAGCGAATCCAATAATTCTAACCTAGCAAATTGATTAAAGCAAAATCATGAAATTAATTCAAGGAACAATATATATTCAATAGATATTAAGAGAAGAAAGATCTCACAATTCGTAGCTAAAAGCTTCAATCTTTAACCAAGAATCCGGAAGATTAAGCTTCCATGGATTCTAATTCCAAAACAAGAATTCTGAAAATTCCAAGAAAACCCTAGAAAGCTTTTTTTTTCTCAAGACTTAATTCTCCTTTTTTTTTTTTTTTTAACTTCAAACTTAATTAAACTAAGCTATTTATATGTTTCTATATTTTAATAACATAACACAATAATAATAATAAAATAATATCCAAAACACGAGCCAAAACAAAGCCAAATTGCTGAAAATTAACCAAAACAGCCCGAATTTCTGCCAGAGCCGCTGCCAGCTGCTCTGGACCCGCTGGCAGCTGCTCTGGCAGCCCCTCACTCTGGTATACCCGCTGCCAGCGGCTCTGGCCAGCTGCCAGCGGCCCTGGCAGCGGTTCCTGCTGTTTTCGCCTTCTTTCCTTGCTTCTTCTTCTTGCTTTGCTTCACCTTTTCCTCAAGCTTTCTTCCTTGCTCTTCATGCTCCATCACAAACTCTCAAATCACGAGCCAAGGTCCATCCTTCTTACATAACTCTTCATTGGTTCCCGAGCTCACTCACTCACTTATACTCATAAATCCCGCCTTTTTGCACATAAGTGAGATCACAGCCCAAAACTCACAAAAGCTAACAAAAGTACATATAAAGCATCAAAACACACCCTAAAATGCTTCTCTCAACCCATGATAAGAAGGCTTATCAAAGGTGCAAGAATATACGAGGATGGTTTGCCAATTGAAGATGCCCTAATGGATGATGTCTTATATGCTCTTGAGGCAAAATCGGAGGCTTGGTATGCGGATATTGTGAACTACTTGGCTTGTAGTTCCGTACCCCGATTTCACTCCTCAACAACATCGAAGGCTCAAGCATGAAGCAAAGAAGTATATATGGGATGACCCTATGTTGTTGAAGAGAGGGGTAGATGGACTTTTGAGAAGATGTGTTCCTAATGAAGAGTTCCAAGATGTGCTCTCAATGTGCCACTCATCCCTTGTGGTGGTCACATGAGTGCTCAAAAAGACCGCTTCCAAGGTCTTGCAATGTATGCTCTTTTGGCCCTCTCTATTCGAAGATGCTTGGCAATTTGTTAAAACTTGTGATAGGTGTCAAAGAGTGGGGAACATCTCTAGGAGGGATGAAATGCCTAAAAACCCCATCCTTGAGCTTGAAGTTTTTGATGTATGGGCAGTAGACTTCATGGGGCCCTTCATTTCTTCTAATGGGAACAAATACATCTTGGTAGCCGTAGATTACGTCTCCAAATGGGCAGAAGCCATGGCTTCTCCTACAAATGATTCCAAGGTGGTTGTGAACTTATTCAAAAGGGTGATCTTTCCGAGGTTTGGTGTCCCTAGGGCTATCATTAGTGATGGAGGGTCACATTTCAAGCATCACACTTTTGCTAGACTTCTTGATAAGTATGGTGTATCCCATAAGCGAGGTCTCTCCAACCACCTCAAACGAGTGGTCAAGCGGAGGTAACTTTTAGGGAGCTTAAGATCATTTTGGAAAAGACGGTGGCAAGAACGAGAAAGGATTGGTCCTCCAAACTCATTGACTCTTTGTGGGCTTATAGGACCGCCTTCAAGACTCCTATAGGGACCACTCCCTATAAACTTGTTTATGGGAAGAATTGCCATTTACCCGTAGAAATGGAACACCGAACGCATTGGGCAATCAAGCGAATCAACTTTGTTCTCCATAGTGCAAGGTGAACAAAGGCTTCTAGAGCTTTAATGAGTTGGAAGAGTTGAGAATGAACACATATGATAGTGCAAGCCTCTACAAAGCAAGAACCAAGGCGTGGCACGACGCTCAAATTTCCAAGAAGGATTTTTTGGAAGGACAAAAGGTCCTACTCTACAATTCAAGACTCAAGCTCTTCCCCGGGAAATTGAGGTCTAGATGGAGTGGGCCATTTCAAGTTTCCAAAGCCTTTCCTTATGGCTCGGTTGAGATATTCAATGACAAGTACCTCCGTTCAAAGTGAATGGGCACCGTCTCAAGCCATACTATGAGGGTCAACTAATTGAGAAGCTAGGGCATTTATCTCTCATTGATGTTTTTAAGTCACCGTGATTTGGTGTGAAGTACGTCAAGCTAGTGACGTTAAAGAAGCGCTTACGGGAGGCAACCCGGTTTCTAACCTTTTTGATTCTATTTTCTTTTAAAACCGCTTAGTATAATCTCTCTAACTCTTTTCTTGTATAATGTGATGTAGGTGTTATGGGAAGTGTTTTAGAGAAAAGAGAAGATTTGAAGCAAAAGCGATATATTGAGAGGAGAGGTCGCGCTGCAAGGTGGCGTGGGGCGCCTAACCAGGAGCGGGCGCGCCTCATCTAGGAGCTCAAATTGAATGAAAAAAACAGAAGGGTCCGCGGTTTGAGCGCGGAAGAGGAAAGGCCACGCCTCAGTTTCGGAGCGGGCGCGCATCATCTAGGGGCTAAAATTGGAGGAAAAAGTCAGTAAGGTGCGCGGTTTGTGTGCGAATGAGGAGAGATCGCGCATCTGAAGGTGGCGCGGGCGCGCTGATTACGTAGCGGGCGCGCAATATCTGATGCCCAAATCTTTAGAAAAGCCAGTAAGGGGCGCGATTTGAGCG